ATAAGACAATTTGTTTACTTGTAGAGAAATATTGTATAGTTATAATGTAATATGTATTTCTTAAGTCATGGTAAAAAAAAAAAGCTTAAAGATGATAAAATCTAAATTTTTCTTGCATTAGCCTCTGCCACTCTTTGTACTACGAGTTACACATTTTTATACCTAGTGTAATATGGCATTTAAAAAATGTATTGCATTTGCTATGTTTACTTTGAAATTTCAGCTTGCTTTTCTCTTACCTGTAGCTATTTGGCCACTTTTATTATCTTGTCTAACTCAGTTTAGAGTTAATAGGGTCCAAGTATAGATTAACTAATAATAGGCTGAGTAACATAATTTTGTTACTAGTTTTTTTTAAAAATATATTTTTATTGCTTTTGGAGAGGAAGGGAGAAGGAAAGAGAAAGAGAAACATCCATGATGAGAGAGAATCATTCATCGGCTGCCTCCTGCACACCCCACACTAGGGACCGAGCCTGAAACCCAGGCATGTGTGCCCTGACCGGGAATTGAACTGTGACCTCCTGGTACATAGGTCAACACTCAATCACTGAGCCATGCCAGCCGGGCTAGATATTTTTTCTAAAGCATCAAAATAGAGGTTTGCTAAAACCACCAACTCCAAACAAGGCCTGGGCAGAGGAAGGGACTGTGAGGGGCATGGGTAGCCCTCAGCATCTTAGGAAAGAAGGGCATAAAACAAGAGAATTCATTTTTAAAAAATATAGTTTTATTGATTTCAGAGAGGAAGGGAGAAGGAGAGAGATATGGAAACATCAATGATGAGAGAGAATCGTTGACTGGCTGCTTCCTGCACGCCCGCTACTGGGGATCGAGCCCGCAACCCCGGCATGTGCCCTTGTCCAGAACTAAACCCGGGACCTTTCAGTCTGCAGGCCGATGCTCTATCCACTGAGCCAAACTGGTGAGGGCAAGAGAATTCATTTCTAAATGCAAGTTTAGGGCTCAGAAAATCTGGAAGAGAGTGAGCAGGAGAAAGACCTAGAACTCTGAAACCATGGAGTCTCACAGACCCCTCTTGTGCAGAAGGAGCCCGATGGGAGGGCCAGTGAAGGCGTCACACACTGTCAGCGCCCTCCTCCCGAGGCCTGGCTCCTTTGTGGGTGGGGGCATCCAGGTCTGCTCCCGGGGCACCTTGCCGAAGTGTCTGCCCAGCACTTCTCTCAGAGCTGCCCAGCTGCCCACTGGGTGGAGAGGTGAGGAGGAGAGAGGAGGGGAATGCACACGCTGGAATCCAGACTCCCTTACCTTATGCTGGGTGGGACACCAATAGTGCCAAAGTACACAGAGTGTACAGAAATATTCAGTGCAGACAATCTGGGTACACAGTAATGAAGCAGTCTATAAAGGGATTTTAATTAGCCCCATGAGGAAAGTTTCCAAATTAATGTAAGTAGCCGTATTTGTTGTCATTTTAGGACTTAGTGGTTACCATTTAAGAAGTCTACCTCAGCCACAGACCTGGCAAGTGGCAGAGCCCGTCTTCTGACCGGCAGGCCAGGGCCTTTTCCTACAGTGCTCCACCTGGGGTGTGAGGCCCAATGTAAACAAGCCTTAGTGGCCATTTATCTCCCTACTTGGATAGATATACTTGAGATGTTTACAGAATTCAGGATGTCTTTGGAGTAAGAAGCTAATTAAAATTGTAATTTTGCATTTTTTTTTACAAGTGCTTTTCTGCATTATCCATGGACTCACTTGGAATTCTCATACTTGTTGGGATACTCAAATTCTCCCACTTTTCACTGTTATGGGTCAGAACATAGGGCCGGGTGGTTGTCTCTTTAAGGAAGTATGTCCAGGCTGCTTTGAAGACAGCAAATTTATTTTTAGTAAAGTTTTAAGTGTCAAACGCAACTGTGCTACTTTCCCAAAAGATTTCCTGACTCCTTTTATATCTGCCAACCACTGAAGTAATTAACATTTTAATGCACAGGTAAGGAAGTGGCCTATTAATACTTTGTTCTGAGCAACTGTGACCTGACTTTTGGATGGGGACTTATTTATACACATAGGAGATTAGTTGAAATAAAAGCTCAATGCAATTTAGAATTGTTTGAGAAGATTATTGTCCTTTTTTATTAAGAGACTAAAATGTACTTACTGTAAAATATTTGTAAAGAACAGAGAGTAGTAACCAGTTTGGCTCAGTGGATAGAGCGTTGGCCTGCGGACTGAGGGGTCCCAGGTTCGATTCTGGTCAAGGGCATGTACCTTGGTTGCGGGCACACCCCCAGTAGGAGGTGTGCAGGAAGCAGCTGATTCATGTTTCCTTCTTATCGATCTTTCTAACTCTCTATCTCTCTCCCTTCCTCTCTGTAAAAAATCAATAAAATATATTTTTTTAAAAAAAGAACAGAGTAAAGAACTTCTCTAAGAAAAAGCCTATCTAAACAAAATCTGAAAAAAAAGCCCTTTAACCCACAAATCCTAGCTGTGTCATGTTGGAATTAGGGATGACCCAGGATGAGTTGCCATCAAAAATTAAACTTTATTCAATAGGATTATATTTTCAAAATAATTGCTGTAATTTTAACTTTTCCGATACAGACGAAGAACTAGCACTGGATGGCAGTTTTGACCAAGACCTAAAAAACTATCACAAACTCCATTGGGAAACAGAATTCAAGCCTGTGGCACAGCAGCTTCTAAACCGAATTCAGTCTCATCACACCTTCCTGGAACCCCTGCCTATTCCTTCTTTCTAACATGATGCAAATTAACACCGGAAACAGGAAGTCAGGTCGCCTTCATTCTTAAGAAGTGGTAACAAACATGAACATTTTTTTTTCAATATTAACAAATATTGAAAAAATTTTCAGGTACTGATGTTAGTGAGTAGTTGAAGTATTTTAAAAGAAATAAGCATTTCTTCTTGTTAGGTATTATGGGAAAATGAATGTACATGTACTTTCTCCTATGAGAAATGTAAGATAAAAAAATATATATGCATGGTTTTTATAAGTAAATGACTTTTTCTTCTATTCTCTAGTCAATAATTTAGTTCTAGTCTTAAAATCCAGATTTCACAATTCTGAAATTCAGTAGTTAAATGAACCTTATGATGAAGACTATTCCATTTTTTTACATAGAAAAAAGAATGGTGGTCAACACTATTCGGAATACATTACTACATAAGCATCTATATGAATTCTTATGTCATCCTATATAATAAAAGGCTAATATGCAAATCGACCAAACAACAGAATGACCGGTCGCTATGACATGCACTGACCACCAGGGGGCAGACGCTCAATGCAGGAGCTTCCCCCTGGTGGTCAGTGTGCTCCCACAGGGGAGCGCTGCTCAGCGAGAAGCCGGGCTCACGGCTGGCGAGCTCAGCAGCAGTGGCGGGAGCCTCTCCTGTCTCCACGGCAGTTGGACATCCCCCGAGGGCTCCCAGACTGCAAGAGGGGACAGGCCGGACTGAGGGACACACACACCCCCCCCACCGGTGTGCGAATGTCATGCACTGGGCCTCTAGTCTAATAATAACTTTCTAATTAGACACCAGTATTTTTGTGGTTCTCGTATTAAGAGAAGTAAGCAGAAAAATTAGGGAAGACCACTTTGGGCCATCTACTCTTTTGTTTGTTTTTTAAATCTTTATTTTTGAGAGAATTACAGATGTCCTCCTTTTTTGCCCCCATTGCCCCCACTCCACCCAGTTCTCATCCCACCCTAGGCCTTCACCAGCCTACTGTCTGTGTCCATAGGTAATGCATATATGCATATAAGTTCTTTGGTTAATCTTCCTGAACCCCCTCCTGCCTTCCCTCTGAGATTCGTCGGTCTGTTCCATGTTTCCAACACTTATTTTCTGTTTTGTTTTTAGCCATCCTAATGGGTATAAAGTAATATCATTGTGGTTTTGACTTGCATTTCTCTATTAATTACTGATGCTGAGTATCTTTTCATATGTTTGTTGACCATTTGTATATCATCTTTGGAAAAATGTTATGCAAACCCCCTGCCCATTTTATAATCAGGTTTGTTTTGTTGTTGTTGAGTTGAAGGTGTTCTTTATAAATCCTGGATATTAACTCCTTACCAAATATATGATTTGCAAATATTTTCTCCCATTACATATGTTGCCTTTTCACTTTGTTGATTGTGCCTTTTGATGCACAGAAGTTTTTAAGTTTGATGTAGTTTCATTTGTCAATTTTTTTCTTTTGCCTTTGCTTTGGCGTTGTGTTATATCTGAGAAATCACTGCCAAATCCAATGTTCTAAAGCTTTTCCCCTTATGTTTTCTTCTAGAAATTTTATAGTTTTAGTTCTTATATTGAGGTCTTTAACCCATTTTAATTAAGTCTTGTATATGGTGTAAGGTAAAGGTCTAACTTCATTCTTTTGCACGTGAATATCCAGTTTTCCCAGCACAATTTGTTGAAGAGGCTGTTCTTTCCTCAGTGAATGGTCCTGGAACTCATGTCAAAGATTATATGATCATATAATGAGGGTTTATTTCTGGGCTTTCTGTTCCATTCCATTGGTCTATATGTCGGTCTTTATGCTGTTACCACATTGTTTTGATTACTGTATCTTTGTAATATGTTTTGAAATAGGACATGTGCAATCTCCAACCTTGTTCTTTTTCAAAATTGTTTTGACTGTTTGGGTTCTTTGAGACTTCATATGAATTTTAAGATGGATTTTTCTATTTCTGCAAAAAAAAGGCATTTTTTAGAGATTGCATTGAATCTATATATTGTTTTAGGGCAGTATTGACATCTTAACAATATAAAGTCTTTCAATCCATGAACAATTGGACATCCCCCGAGGGCTCCCAGACTGCAAGAGGGGACAGGCCGGACTGAGGGACACACACACCCCCCCCACCGGTGTGCGAATGTCATGCACTGGGCCTCTAGTCTAATAATAACTTTCTAATTAGACACCAGTATTTTTGTGGTTCTCGTATTAAGAGAAGTAAGCAGAAAAATTAGGGAAGACCACTTTGGGCCATCTACTCTTTTGTTTGTTTTTTAAATCTTTATTTTTGAGAGAATTACAGATGTCCTCCTTTTTTGCCCCCATTGCCCTCACTCCACCCAGTTCTCACCAAATGCAACTTATATTTGCATGTTGCTTTTATATTATTTGATTGGATTTATTAGTTCTAACAGGTTTTTTTGTGTATAGAATCTTTAGGGTTTTCTGCATATAAGATCATGTCATCTGTAAACAGAGATAATTTTACTTTTCCTTTCCACTTTGGATGTCTTTTCTTTTTCTTGCCTAATTGCTCTGGCTGGGACTTTCAGTACTATGTTGTATAGGAGTGGTGAAAGTAGGCATCCTTGTCTTGTTTCTTAGAGGAAAAGCTTTCAGTCTTTCATCAAGTATGATATTAGCTGTGGGCTTTTCATGTATAGCCTGTATTACATTGAGGTAGTTTTCATCTACTCCTGATTTGCTGAGTGTGTGTTTAATCATGAAAGGGTGTTTAATTGTATCAAGTGCTTTTTACGTATCAGTTGAGATGATCATGTTTTTTCCCTCTTCATTCTTTAATGTGGTGTATTACATTGACCAATTTTTGTACTTTGAAACATCTTTACACTCCAGGAATATCCCGCATAATCCTTTTAATGTGCTATTGAATTTTCTTTGCTAGTATTTTGTTAGATTTTTGCATCAATATTCATCAGGAACATTGGTCTATAGTTTTCATTTCTTGTAGTGGTGTTCTCTCTTCGCTTTTTGGGAAAAGTGTGAGGAGGATTGGTGTTAATTCTCCTTTAAATGTTTGGTAGAATTCTCCAGTGAAACCATCTCAGCCTGGGCTTTGTCAGGTTTTAAATTACTGATTCAATCTTGAGTGTCTCTGTTATCCAATTTGTTGGTATACAATTATTTATAGGATTCTCTTATAAATCCTTTGTTTTCTTGTTGCATTGGTTAAATGTCCCCTTCTTCATTTCTGATTTTACTTATTTTAGTCTTCTTTTTATTTTTGGGGATTTTTTATTTTATATTTTTATAAACAATATTTATTTTTAAAATGTATTTTTCAAATACAGTTGACATATAATATTAGTTTCAGGTTTACAACATAGTGATTAGATATTTATATACCTTACAAAGTGATCACCCTGGTAAGTCTAGTACCCATCTGACAGCATACATAGTTATTACAAAACTAGAGGCCCAGTGCACAAATTCGTGCATGGGTGGGGTTCGGCTGGCCTGCCCTGATTGGGCCAGTTGGGCCAGGACAGGTAGGGGGAGGGGCCGCAGGTGGTTGGCAGGCCGGCCCCATCCTCTGGTCAAACCTCCAGTCGAACTCCCAGATGAGGGGATAATTTGCATATCAGCCTTTTATTACATAGGATTAATGACTATATTCCCTATAATGTACTTTTCATTCCTGTGACTATTTTAATAACTGGCAATTTGTGCTTCCCTTTTAGCTTTTCACCCATTCCCCAAACCCCTCTCAGCTGACAACTACCAATTTGTTCTCTGTATTCTCTAGGATATGAGTTTGTTTCTGTTTTGTTTGTTCATTTATTTTGTTATTTTTAGATTTCACATATAAGTGAAATCATATGGTATTTGTCTTTGTCTAACTTATTTCACTTACCATAATACCCTCTAGTTCTATTTATGTTCTTGCAAATGTTAAGATTTCATTCTTTTTTATGGCTGAGTGATATCCCATTGTATATGTACCACATCTTCTTTATCCATGGGCACTTAGGATGCTTCCATATATCTTGGTTATTGTAAATAATGCTGCAATGAACATAGGGGTGCACATATCTTTTTGAATTAGTGTTTTAGATTTCTTCAGATAAATGCCCAGAAGTGGAATTGCTGAGTCATAATGATAGTTATATTTTTAATTTTTTTGAGGATAGTCTATACTGTTTTCCATAGTGGCTGCACCAATTTACAATCCCACCAACAGTTGCGTGAGGGTTCTCTATTTTCCACGTCCTTGCCAACACTTGTTGATTTATTGCTGATAGCCATTCTGACAGTTGTGAGGTGATATCTCATTGTGGTTTTAATTTGCATTTCCCTGATTATTGATGTAGAACATGTTTTCATATGCCTATTGGCCATTTGTCCTCCTTGGGAAAAAAATGTCTATTCAGTTATTCTGTGCATTTTAATTTATTTTATTACTAAAGGCGTGGTGCACAGATTTGTGCACATTGAAAGGAAATTAATTAGAAGGTGGCTGGTGGGGTGGGACTGGGCGAGATGGGCCGGACATGCCCTGGAGCCAACCTCCCACCATCCCTCCTTAGCCAGCCGCACCTGGGGTGGCGCCGGGGCTCGAAGGGCATCTGCGGAGTGAGCGGGGTCCCTCCACTAGGTGGGGTCCCTCAGCCTGGCCTGTGGGGATCAGGCTGAAACCAGCAGTCTGACATTCCCCGAGGGATCCTGGAGTGGGAGAGGGCACTCTGCAAAGTTGCTATCACTCAGCAGCTCTTGCATTGACCGTCTGCCCCCTGGTGGTCATTGTGCGTCATAGCTACCGGCTGATTGGCTGGTTGCTTAGGCTTTTATATATAGACTAGAGGCCCGGTGCACAAAAATTTGTGCACTCAGGGGGGAGAGGGGGTCCCTGAGCCCAGCCTGTGCCCTCTCGCAGTCTGGGATCCCTCAGGGGATGACCACCTGCTGGCTTAGGCCCACTCCCCGGGGGATTGGGCCTAAGATGGCAATCAGACATCCTTCTGGCGCCTGGCAGCCCTCGGGGGATGTCCACTTGCCAGTGGGGAGAAGACCTAAACTGCAGTCGGACATCCTTAGCGCTGCTGAGGAGGCAGGAGAGGCTCCCACCACCACTGCTGTACTGGCAGCCATCAGCCTGGCTTGTGGCTGAGCAGAGCTCCTCC